GGTCGAAGCCTGACCCTGGCCCTGGGGCAGCCAAGGGGGTCACCTCTCACTGGGCAGAGCCCATTCCCCACCCTCCCGAAGGTGAGCTGGGCCCACCCAGACCTCAGGCACAGGGAAGCAGGGCGCCTGGGTCAGCTGGGCTGGGGACCCACCTGGTTGCACAGCGCCCCTGTAGGGACCAAAGGATCAGAGGACGCGCTCTAGGCCATCCTGATATTTAACACGTGGAAAAATCGAAGGCCAGAGAGAGGAAGAGAGGTGCTCACAGTCAGTTGTTATGTGAACCTAAATCTCTTGATTCCCCGTCTTTGGCTATTTTTACGATACACAAAACTAATGTTGATGCTGCTACAAAAAATCAACATCCCAAACATCAGGCACAAAATGATTCTGAGGTCACAATGCCCCTTCCCCCTCCTCTGGTGTGGAAAACCAGCATGGCCACCTGACATGTTGATCTAGAAAAGGGTTCTCAGCCCTGGCTACGCACTACAATCGTTAGGGAAGCCTTGAACATTGCAGTGCTTGGGCCCCAGCCCTGGAGGCTTTGAGTCCATCCATCTCGGGTGAGACCAGGGCCTTGGCATGTTTTCAAGACTCTTGGCCAGACCTGAGAACCATACTTTAAGATGATTTTGACTGCATAAAAAAAAAAGCCCAACTAACATTTGCTTAAAGCAGAAGGATCTTCAGTCTCTACCTATCAAGCCAGAGAGGGCAGACCAGCATTGGTTCAGGACGTCAACAATACCATGAAGGACCCAGAAGACCTAACAACGTTCACTCTGTCAAACTCATGGTACCAGCACTTTTCCCCTCATGGTCACAAGATGGTTGCCGCTGCTCCAAGCATCAAGTCCTCCAAACACAAAGCAGGGGTGTGGGTGAGGAGTTATTTTCTCCACTGCTGTCTCTTTTATTAGGAAGATGAAGTTCTTTCTAGGAGGCCCCAGCAGAATTTTCTTTATGTGTCTTTGGACAAAGCTAGGCTATAGATCCACCCTAAACGAGTCACTGGCCAAGGGGGTGAGATCATTCCAACTGGCTTGGAATAATCATGATTCATCCATGGGAAAGGGCACTCTGTTGTCTGAAGAGTTCTGCTCGGGCACTGCTCTGTTGTCTGTTGTTCTGCTGTCAGAGGAGATGGGGGAACTGGATGTTGGGTAGGCGGTCATGAGGGTACAGTAAACTTTAACCAGGCATTCTCTTCCCATGGCCTCGGGAAGAGGACCCAAGGTCAGGTCCACACATGAACTGCTGACCACAGCCCAGAGGGAGAAGTTGTAGCAGCAGGATACTTCTTGGAAGAAACTAGGCAGGCATCCTGGAAGAAGAGACACACTCGATCTGGGCCTTGAGGAGTGAGAAGGGATCCTGAGGAGTGCAGAAAGGAGGAAGATGAGTCGGCACAGCCCAAGCCAGGGCGCTGGGGTGGGAGCCGCAGGTGGGTTGGGGGAAAGGTGCATCTTCGCCTTACCTGGAAGGTCAGGTGTGCTGGGGGAACGGGTGCAGGGAGAGGAAGAAATGGATTCAAAGGGCTGGAAGTCCCGGGCAACAGGTGCAGGTAGAGGAGGGACTTGGTGAGGTCTGGGGTGTGGGTCCTCAGAGGGGACGGTGGGTGGGTGGGGCTGGGACACCGCCGTGAAGGCCACTGCCGAGGCAGGCAGGAGGAGATCCAGGCCTGAGCCAGCCAGGATGGGTGGAGAGAGGCAGACAGAGGGGAGTGATAACCAGCGAGACTGAGGCAGGGCACAGAGTCATTGTTCCCAAATGCCTGTGTGCCGCTCGCTTGCTGATCTGCTGTCTTCAGACCTGCAGCCTCCTCTACTGTGCTTGAAAAGCCCAGACCTGCTTCATAATAACTTTGCTAGTGCCGGACGGAGCAGTCGTTGTGACCCTCAGGGCTGTTACCAGAATTAGAAGGGTATCTATCAATATCAGGGTATTTTTTTTTTAACTTTTTTAAGGTTTATTTAATTTTTGAGACAGAGAGAGACAGAGCACGAATGGGGGAGGGTCAGAGAGAAGGAGACACAGAATCCGAAACAGGCTCTAGGCTCTGAGCTGTCAGCACAGAGCCCGACCCGGGGCTCGAACTCACGGACAACGAGATCATGACCTGAGCCGAAGTCGGCCGCTCAACCGACTGAGCCATCCAGGCGCCCCTCCTGCTTTATTCTTTATTCTTCAGTTTTTCTCCTAAGTGGTGGTTTCCAGTCACCAGTGGAGCTTTTCAATAGAGGTGTCATCCCTGGGCCACACTCCCAGAGATTCTGACTTCATTGGTCTGAGACAGGGGGTCCCAAGCACCAATACTCTTTAAAACCTAGTTTGTATACTTTTTAATGATTTTATTTTTTTATTCTTTTTTAAAATTGTTATTATCCCTTTCCAATAGGCTCCATGCCCAACATGGGGCTTGAACTCACGACCCCGAGATCAAGAGTCGCATGTTCTGGACCGACCCGAGCCAGCCAGGCACCCCTACTTTTTAAGTAGATGTGTTATTGCAGTATGATGCGCTCACAGAGGTGTGTAGATAAAGATCACGCTTGAACAGTTTCCTCGCAAAGAGAACCGACCAACCATGTTACCACTTAGCTCAAGAAATACCAGGGGTGCCTGGGTGGCTCAGTCGGTGGAGCGTCCGACTTTGGCTCAGGTCATGATCTCGCGGTCTATGAGTTCGAGCCCCGCGTCGGGCTGTGTGCTGACAGCTCGGAGCCTGGAGCCTGCTTCGGATTCTGTGTCTCCCTCTCTCTCTGCCCCTCCCCCGCTTGCTCTCTGTCTCTGTCTCTCTTTCTGTCGCTCTGTCTCTCTGTCAAAAATAAATAAACATTAAAATAAAATTAAAAAAAAAGAAATACAGTGCGGTTGGCTCCCCAGAAGTCTGGCCCATATGTCTTCCCAGTTAGTAGCCACCAAAGGTCACCGTTGTGACTCCTGTCACCACAGTTTAGTCTTCCTGTGCTGGCCCTTTGTATAAACGAGTCATGGATAGATGCTCTTTATGATCCGACTTCTCTCGCTCGCTATGGTTTGTAAGAATCGTCCCATTGTGTGGAGTGGTGGTTTGTCTATCTTGTTGGTGCATCACGCGAATACACCCCAACACGGTCACCCATTCAACACTCAACCCATTCAAATGTTCAGAGACACTTAGGTAGTTTCCACTCAGTTTTCTTATGAGTGGCACTGCTGTGAATATTTTGGGGCTTGTTTTATGGTGAATGCATGTACATGGTTCTTTTGACCCTAGAGCTGGGACTGGAATTTGGGGGTCACAGGATGCGTTTGTTCAGGTTTAGCAAATGCCATCAATTTTCCAAAGGGCTTTTTACCATCTGATACTCCTACCAATGGTGGTGGGTGATCTGGTCGCTTCACATGCCCCTCCCCCCACCCCCCAACCCTTGCTATTGCACATCTTTTCCATGTGGGCCATTCTGTTGGGTAGACAGTGGTGTTGTATTAGGATCTTAATTTGAACGGCCTCCCAAACACTTGGGAAGTCCGGCATCCTTACATCTGGTTCTTGGCCACTTGGATACCCTCGGGCATCGGTTAGCTAGAGCCGCAAGGATGCTGTGTAACGAAGCACCCCAACCAAGCACTTATTCTCATGCTGTGGGTCTGCGGGTCACTGCAGCTGGGCTGACGTAGACTTCCGGTTGCAGTCTTGGCTGGGAGGGGCTCCCCTGTGCGGGTTGGGCTCAGGCTGCCCCAAGTAGGTCCACTCTGGGGCCCAGCTAACGGGCAGCGGCTCCGGGGCGACACAGACCCACTGCACGTGCACATGTCAGTAGCTGCTTTACCAGGTCTACCAACGTTCATCGGCCAGAGGAAGTCACAGGGCCAAGCCCGATCTCAGCGGGAACAGGGATACCCTTGCCTCCGGGGAGTGGGGAGTGAATATTTGCTAAACAAACCAAATTATAGCACTGGTATTTGGGGTAGTTTTCAAACGGCCTCATGGGTTCTAATGTTCCGCCAGGGCTGAGAACTACTGACCTACAGTCACACTGCCTGTTCGCCGGTCAAAACAGAAAGCAGGCTTCGTTGATTTGACTTTATTTCCGAAAATGAGTTGATTCAACCAAAGTCCACTTCTCCCCGAGGCAATTTCTTTCAAGAAGAGAGTCCTTGGAATTCACACGGCAAATCGTTTTAATGATTGGTTTTAACTAGATCCTGCGGACCCAAGGGGCAGGCCCATGTCTGATTGATCTCTAACATTCTCAGCCCCGGCCCAGCACAGAGACCAGGAGACGTGCTGGAATGGGAGGTTGTTGGAAGGAAGGAACATAGACATTGTTGTGTAATCTCGGTGACGGCAGGGATTTTTGTCCATTGGCATCATTTTTATATCGCCAGCGCTTAGAGGCGCACCTGACACGGAGTAGGTGCTCAATAAATACTCTGTCAGTTAGTGAAGCATGCATGCACGTGTAGATGAGCTGTCTGGGACGGAAAAATGAATGGTGGGCAAGCGGATGGTTGGTTGCATAGAGAGATGTAAGAGCGGGTGAATGGGAAGGTGGGTGGATACATGGATAGGTAGGTGGACAGATAGATCAGGGGACGGGTCACGATCGGTTGGATGGATGATTAGGCGGTTGGATAAATGGACAGATGTAGATGGGTAAATGAGTAGGTGGGTGGACAGATGGCTGCACGGGAGAATGAATCAACGGGCAGATGGGCAAACGATCGGATGGATGACTAGACAGGTGGGTGTGTTGATGAGCAGACGAGTGGATGGAGAGATGGGGAGCTGAATGGATGTTTGAGTGGATCACGTGACAAAATGAATAGATAAACAATGATCGTGAGCTTGCCAGAGGAAAGCACAGCCTTCCCTGCTGGTAAACATAACTCTCTTGCCAAACTGTTAGTGACCAGGATGGTTTCGGTCTCGTCACAGGGCTTTCTGACTTACTGCTTTCTCCTCCCCTCGGAGTGCCTCTTCTGGAGGCCGGGGTGAGAGGCAGAAGAGAATGACCATGGAGATCAGCGCTCGGGGCGGACAGCGTACCATTGGGAATGAGGAATACAGCCTGTATAGCAGCCTGAGCGAGGACGAGCTGGTCCAGATGGCCATTGAGCAGAGCCTGGCTGACAAGACTCGGGGCCCAACCACGGCTGAGGCCACTGTGTCCACACGAGCCAACCGCCAACCTGCCCATTTCTACCCATGGACCAGGTGAGCGAGGAGAAGCCAACTAGGATACCCGTGAGGTGCAGATCCCAAACGCTGCTAACCCAAGACCAGAGCCTCGGTCTGTGGGGTACCTTTTTACAGCTTAAAGACTCACGTTTGTTATCGAAACTTACCGAGGTTTGACAGGCCAGGCACTCTAGTAGGCGCTATACTAGTTTTGCCTCATTTAACCCTCTTAAAGACCTTCCAGGAGGCTCTCTGCTATATTCCCATTTTATAAAGGAGGATACGGAAGCTCAGGGCTGGTAACTAGTCCCAGGTTGCACAGCTAGTGGATGGTGTTGCAGAGACTGGAACGATCCGGTTCCAGAGATCATGGCTCGGCTTTGTACCACTGGCTTTATATTTGAATGCGGTGGGGTTGATGTTCTGAGTCCTGAGCAGAGCTCCCCACCTTACCGATGCAGTCTTCCTGGGAAAACACGTCTGAGAAGCAAGGGACATTTGCCCAGCAAAGTCACCCATTCCTCCTTGGCTCTGGCTCCCCTGTCTCAGCAGGACCTCAGTGGCAGGACCTCCTGGGGCAGCACCGTAGAAATATGATGGGAGCCACCCCCGAAGTTCCACACAGACAATTCTGAATCTCCTAACAGCCACACTACACACAGAAAGACAAAGAGGTGAAATTAATTTAGGTGGAAAATATTATCATTGCCACGTGTCCTCAATAGGAAAATTACGAAGGAGACTTTTACGTTCTCTTTGCCCTACCAAGTCTTTGGAATCCAGTGTGCGCTTCGCCCTCACAGACCGTCTCAGTTCAGGCTAGCCGCATCGCCACGGCTCACCAGCCACATGTGGACAGCACAGATCCAGAGGGTACCTTCTTTGCAGGAGGTGGGAACCAGAGAGGTAATCAAGCATTGGATCTTAAGATGCTTTTAGGAAGGAAAGCTGTGTTTAAAAATGCTCTGTTCCTCCCTGAATCCAGGTCAAGTCCGTATTTGGGGGTGGTGGTGGTGGGTGGAACAGTTATATTCTGTGGCCACAGGACACGGGCCTCAAATCTCATTGTCTCCAGGGGCGCCTGGCTGGCTCAGTCAGTGGAGTGTGCAGCTCTCAGGGTCGTGAGTTCGAGCCCCTGGTTGGGCATGGAGCCTACTTAAAAAAAAAAAAAATCTCACCGTCTCCAGCAGCCAGCTGACTTTCTCTGTGGCCTTGGGCAAGTCCCGTAAGTTCTCTTAGCAACAGGGGACAGACCGTCTCTAATATCCAGTCTCAGTTGACAGGGTTGAAGGTGGGTGGTGGTACCTCCCAGCCCTGTCCTGATGATCGCCACCAGGCGCTCCCCAAAGTGACTTTGGCCCTTGTTGAGGCTGGACCTCCTCTGCCAGGCAGGTTGGGCAAAGACTTGGGCTGCCCTACACCGAGGAACCCCTTCTAAGGGGGAAGATGGGCAGCCTCCTTGGGCGGTGGGAAGGAGTAGCAGGCACCAGGTTACTGGGCTGCACCTTGAGGGTGTCCCATTCTGGAACCCAGCCTTAGAAACAGAAGTGACTTCATGGCCGGTGCTCTGGGAGGCCCTGGTTCCTGTTCCGGCTGGTTCATCCTAAGTCAGACCACAAGTTCCTCTTTCTCAAGAGGAGATCAGATAGAGAGAACATCCCCTGGGGTATCTGCAGCCTTCTCCCCAGTGTGGGGGGGCCCCACCCCCCGGCCTCCTGGGGACACTTACAAACATTAGAACTGAGTGGGCTCGTGGGGTCCGGACCCTGACCTCCTCTTTCCTCTGGTGGGCAAGGAAGGACAGACCCACCATGGGACACAAACCCTTATCCAGCCTCCTGAGACAAAAGCTCTCACAGAGGAAGGGAAATGACTTACCCAGGGTCGCACAGCCATCACCTAAGTTCCAGGCACAAGTAATACAGGGGAGGGGATTGACCCTGCACCTTCTCACTCCTGATGGGAGCTGAAATCTCCCAGATTCAGCTCTGCCCTTTCATCTCTGGAAGACGGGCAGGCTTGGGTCCTGCTGGGGAAGCCCATGCCTCCCGCACCCCCCGCCCCGCCCCAGATGCACACTGAGTGCTTTCCATGCGCCCAGCACACAGCCTTTCAGCTAATCCTTCCAAAAGCCGAGCAAGGTGGACATTTCTGGGCTCGATGTTATAAACGTGCGCACAGCAGGACCAGGAACAGAACCGACGTCTGTCCCGCTCTGCCGCTCGGACGCTTAACCAGCTCTGCCCATCCTGCAAAGGCCTCTTTCCGTGCCTCTCCTTCCTCCGCTTTGAAGTGGGGTTCGGGTCTCATTACAGCCACCTCCTACCCACAGACTTTCAGGGTCCCCAATGGCAAGAGACACACCAGTTTGTGCCCACATTCCCAGACATGGCATTTCAAGAAGCACAGGACCCAGTAGAATCCTTTTATCCCCAAATAGCAGAGTCGCCATCCAAAGCCCAGAGCAGGTGTCGGGACAGGACATCATACATGTCCCAGGGCTCCACACGGCTGGCTCCTTCTCAATGGAAGGTCACCTCCTCAGCAAACCCTGCCTGATCACCCTTCCAGGTCAAACAGGTCTCCCCCTTACTCGCTCCCTTGGCTGTTTCCTTCATCGCCCCGACTATGACTTACAGTTTCTATGTACTTGTTTCGGCCACGAGGGCAGGGGCCTCACTCATCTTCCTTCCTGTGAAGCCTCTTGTCTAGCACACAGCTCTTGACCCATAGCAGCCACCAAATGGCTGTCTGTGAGCGACTATTGGGTGAATAAAGGAATGTATAGAAAGGTAGCAGAGTAGAGTGGAAAGGGAAGTGGGTTTGGAGGTTCAAATCCTTCTTCTGTTACATATTGGCTGTGTGACCTTAGGCAAGTTACTTAACCTTTCTGAGTCCCAACAATCCTACCCTTAAAATGGTAATAACAAAAACTTGCCTAGCCGACATGCAGTGTTCTTATGAAAAGCAAATAAAAATGGCACCTTCTTCACATCTCCCGGTTTGAGGTGACCTTCCCCCACCTCCTCTCTGAGCACCCAGAGCGCCCACGTCATGACCGCCTCTGTTTCATGGACAAGCTTTTGCGTCACTATAGGAAGGCATTATCTAGCCTCCTGAGAGTGTCCCCAACTATACTATACAACCTCTTTGGGGACAGGGAGCAGATATTGCCTACTTTGGTATCCTCAGTGCCCGGCAAAGGGCCTAGATTGTTGTAGGTGCCCAAGAAATGTTTTGAGGCAAATAACTGCATTTCAAAACCAATAAAATGCTCTATAAATATAATTTATTGTTATCACCTTGTGACCAAAATGGCGACTGTGGACGCAAAGGTCAACTGAGACTTCGGGGTCCTAGAAATGAAAGCCAGATCCACATCCCAGAGAAAATGTAACGTCCCCTTCTAAAGCCATTTTTTTCCAATTTGCTTCTCTCCCACCACGATGTAAGGGATGAAGTCAGAAACATGCATAGGGATCATCTGCTGAACTCTGGCCCCCTGAGGGCTCCCTGAAAGGCAGACCCAACTTCCCATCCCATGGAGAAGTAGGGTTCATGCAGCCATGAACCAGAGAGCCCAAGGTTACGATGATGGACCAGCCCACAGTGGGCCCAGGAATCTGGGTCTTCCCAGTATTTAAACTTCTGCGTGTTTTTAAGGTTACATTTCTAAGATGACAACGGAGGAAAGCATAAAGTAGAAATTTGTTTGGGTTGATGTGTGCACAGCTGCAGAGAATTCAAATCAAACCACCCACACCGACCGTGCTCTTAGGAGGTGCCAGGTGCCTTCTTGGCACCTGGATGTGAATCAGGCCTCGTCCCTCTCCTCCCCAAGTTTGCAGTCTAACAAGGGTCCCAGATGTACACAATGGCCCAACAGGAAGGGCGCAGCAAAGAGGCTTGCCTCAGTTTCAGAAGGACACAGAGAGGGTCGATTCCCTTAGTCAATCAGGTGAGTTTTGCAGGATGAACAGGAGTTCGTGAAGTAGGCTGGAGGAAGCAAACCTCTTTGAACCTCTGGTTTGAGCCACCGGTGTTCAGCCGGGTCCAGCCGAATTTAATGCCCTCCCTGGGGTTGTCAGCTCTCGGAGAAGTTGGGGAGCCTTGTCATTGCAGCCCAGGTCCCCACTCTCCCTGAGCCTGACCCGTGTCTGGAGTAGGGGCCAGGACTTTTGGTGACAGTGCTGTACTCCTGACCCCCCGAGCTGCCGCCTACGTGAAGGACAGGGGCCCTACCTGGGCCTCTTCCAGGGCATGACCTGTGCCCACATCCTGCTAGGTTTCTCTTACCTCTGATGACTAACCCCGGTGGTTTTCTCTGCTGGGAATTCCCCCCCTGCCTCGGGGCTGAGGGGAAGTGGGGCCCGCAGCCTTGACCGGACCGGCTCCCCATGTAGCGTGAGGCTCAGCTCAGCACTCGGTTGCTCTGAGCGCTTGCCCTGCCCATCCCCCTAAAGCCGAGTTCACAACTGACCACAGGGTTCCAGGAGGAGTCCCTGCTCTCTTTCCCCCCTCCCCGGAGACTCTATGGTCTGCATCCCGGGCCCTGGCACAAGGCTTGGGACAGAGCAGGGAGTGGGAAACTCTTGTTGCACGGGACTCGGTCTCCCTGCTTCCTCCTCTGCGAAGCGGGAACAACATCCAGCTGGTGGGGAGGACAGAAGTGAGGCGAGGCCCTGCACGGTCGTGAGGGACATCCCTGTCACCACAGCTGTCACCCCCAGCCGCCTCGCCATCCCTGTCTTGCTGTAGTTATTTTGCCATCAGAGATAGTCCTGGTCTTAGGGTGGTGTGATGGGTTTTTATTGGTGCTTATCGTCTTGCTAAAAACATCCTGACAGCAGTAACACACGGGCCAGTGATGAAGGTGGCTGGGACTCCAGGATCCTGCGCAGACCGAGACCCAGAGCTTTGTCAGGACCACACAGTGGGGGGGGGGGGGGGGGGGGGGGGGGGGGGTTCTGTGAGCTGGGCCCCAGGCCGCCTTCCACCCTGCCCAGCATGCTCCGCTTTCCGGGGGGTGGAGAGGGGCCTCGGCAGGGCCAGGCTTTGCACAACCACCCCCTTCCCAGGATGTGGTCTCTTAGATCTGTTTGACACGCAAAGTTTCCACGTGAGTTCATTTCAGCAAAGGCTCCTCAGCTACAGAAGCAGTGGGGAAACCCCCCTGTCCGGTCGCGCCTCCACATCTAACAAATGAGGAAACTGAGGCACAAAGGGGGGCGGGGGCTTGCTCAAAGTCGCAGGGCCGGTCAGAGTAGAGCCCTTAGAGCCAGAGACAGGATGAAGAGGCAGGAGGCAGGGGCATCAGGACCTCTGCAGACAGACCTGAGTCGGCCTCTGCTCTGCTCAGCTGCGTGCGAGCCCGGGGCAGTGACCCACCTCCCGGAGCCTCAGTTTACCCGTCTGTCAAGGGTGAGGACGTTGGTACCCGCTCTAGAGGACTGATGGATGGGAGCACACAGGTGGTGGTCAGGAAAGGTGAGTAGTAACATTCAGAAGAGCACGGAGGAATGCAGTGACAGTGAGGAGAATGAAGGTGGCCGGCCTGGCGGTCCCCCCCGCGCGGAGATGGCCAAAGCAAAGCGGGCCGGCTTCCTTGCCTTGCCTCCGCCCCTCTCCACCATGACCTGGCCTTGCTGAGGGCACCCACAAAATCTGCAGCTTCTGGCCTATCTTGGAGGAGCGTGGGCCTCCTCAGGGTCACAGTTCTAGCACCTGCAAACGCCACAGGGTGCTGGTCACACGTAGCAATGTCCTCAGTCCCACAGGGCACCCCCGAGGGGTGCGGGGGAACCAGGCCAGGCCTCCTGGAGTGTCCATGGCACCTGGCACCCCAATCAATTCGATCTGTGGTGTGGCCACCACACCCCCTTTCACCCCTCTCATCCTCACCAAAGCCCAAGGGGGTGGGGAAACTGAGGCTCGGAGAAGTGAAATCATGATCAAGTTAGTGGTGGACGTGTGCCGAGCACCCCCGTGCCTGGACCCCAGCTGAGCTCACTCGCTCCAGCCTCACGGCTTCCGACACTGGGTTATGCAGAAAACTAAAACCCAGAAAAGCTCAACCGGTCTGAGGTCACAGGGCCGGAGAGTGCCAGAGCCTAGATTTGAACCTGTGTCCGTCTGACTCCAAGCCCTGGCCCACCCCCCCCCCCGATGGCCTTTTGCTGTAACTTCTGTCCTGCGTGTTCCTGGGACAGCAGGACCCTCTAACGAGGACCCGACGAGGCGGATGCGGGAGTCCAGACCTGGTTTGGCTTCCCAGCCACGCTCCCTTGTCCCCCCGACAACCTCCAAGAACCTCTTGCCCATCCCTGTTGGGACCCAGCCTGGCCAGCCCGAGACTGAGCCCCTTCCATCCAGGGACCTGCCGCTGACCCTTCTCACATCCTCTCTGGTGAAGAATGTCACCTTGCTTCGTATCTGCCTCCTGCGGGGTTGGCTGGGGAGGGGGCCGTGGGGGCGGGGATGAGGTTAACCTCATTGTTGTCTTATATGGTCATTTAAATCTCCCAGGGCTTCCTCCAAGGGCCAAAAATAATCCGGAGACACAGCAGCTGTGTCCAGCACACAGAGAGGACCCGGCCATCTGCTTTGGTTCAGAGCCCTGTGTCTGTCTGTCAGTCTTTCCCCTTGCGATCCCTCCATCCTGGATCCTGCCTCCGGCCATGACCCGCTTCTCTTATGCAGAGTATTTTTCCCTCTTTCACTCCTGCCCTGCACCCTCCAGGTCGACTGTGCCTCCTGAGAACTCGCCTGCCTCGGGCCCCATGGGCCTGTTCCAAGGGGTCATGCAGAAATACAGGAACTCCCAGCTGGCGTAAGTGACCCCCAGCCCCTGAGACCGTGCAAGTTCACTCTTCCACTTAGGGTTAGTGGGGGGTGGGGAGTGGGAAGCAGACCCCAGGAAGGGGGGCATCCTGGAGGGACCTCCCGGGCATATCACTCCCACGTGTGTCCCCCCTGAGACCCAGCTGAGCTGAGCTTAGCAGTCACAGACTCAGTTCAAGACTGTCAGCGGGGCTGTGCCTGTGACTGAGCCCGCAATGCCCCCCACGTGGGCCCCGGGGGACGGAGCAGCCCCGTGGGAGACGGCCCTAGGACCCCCCCCAAAAGCCCAGAGGAACTCCGAGCCGAAGCTGATGAGTCAGCCGCACCTTCTGTTTATCTCAGTTTCCCCCCTGCGTCACCATGGGTGTATCTGAGCACATCTACAACGCTCACGCCCGTGGTCTTTGTTTTGCCTCGTTGCCTGTATTTGTTCAGTGCCAGGCGGTAAAGTCCAGAAATAATCTGGGCTGCAGGAGGGGTTCTGTGTGCCTGGCACCAGGGTGCTGGGCTAGGTGCGTCCTTGGAAAACAGATCCGTGCTGTCCCTTCTCTGCCCCCCTGTATCGACCCCAGAAGCAGCTAAAAGCAAAAGAGGGGCCCCCCATCGCGGGAACCCCTATCTCCTTGCTCCAGTTATGTTGCAGAGAGGGGAGGAGGCAACGGGCCAGTGTTTTGAGTCTCTTCCCAGCTCTTTTCAAACCCTGCCGCCCCGGCTTCCTTGGGGCTGTGGGTGGAATTCTGACGGTCTGGAAAAGGGGGCCCCAGATTCTGGTCTCGGCACTGCTGCCCCTTCCTGTGTGGCTGCCTGTGAGTCGCTGTCCCTCTCTGAATCTCCCCTCTCTGTGAGAGAAGGTTGGAGAGGACAGAGCGGCCTCCAGGGTCGTGTCTAGCTCCTCGGTCTCTGATGGTCTGACACCCCCAGCAGCCTCCCCCTACCTCAGGGCGGGGCTTTGGCTGAGCTCCTAGAGCAGCAGTCAGCATGTGCGCCCGAGAGCTTCAGGGTCCTTGCACCACAGCTGGACGAGAGCCAGGCTGGGCGGCAGGTCCTGGGAGTGTTCTCATGAGACTGCGCATCCCCCACCCCCACCCCCACCCCCCGCCCCGTCCACGAGAACAGCCAGCCCTCCTCTCTTCCACTTCAGCTGGGGTCCCACGGGAGACCTGCCAGGGGAGCCGGGATACATACCCAGCCGGGCTCTTCCTGACGCCAGCAGGGGCTGCTCTGGCCGCTCGTAAGAAGAACTCACCAAGGTGGTAGTGATGGCGTTGGTGGGGACTTCGGGGCTTATCTGGTCAGTTGCCCAGTTTGCTCGTGGGTCTGTAACTTAACCGGCATCTGTGCTCTGAAGCTATTAATAACCGGAGGGGCTGAAAGTCAGGAGGAAGTGCCGCTCACGATGGAGGAAGCAGCTGGGAGGGTCAAGGGGCCGGCCCCATGGACCCTCGGGGCCCATCCTGCCCCCTGACGTGGGTGAGCGCCCTGGGAACAAGGCCTGCCTCCGGTCTCACCTTCTCCATCTAAGAAATGGGAGCACTTATGCAGAACATTCCCCAGGAGTGGGTCTGGGACTCACAGCTGTCCTGGTCCTCACTGACGCAAGGGTGGAGGGAAGGGAGCTCAGTGAATGAATGAATGAATGCATGAGTGAAGTAGCAAAGAAGTTGTCATTCATAGGAGCCCTGAAATCTCTCGGACATTCAGAAGTTTAAGACTGTGCAGACTTCACATGTATTAGTCCTTCAAGGATGGAAGTCTTTCAGCAGCTAAAGCTTCTAGGGGTGAGGGTAAAGGGTGAGGAACAAGGAAGGGAAGACCCCAGAGACATGCTCACTGGAAAGAGCCCCCCTCTGAGGGACTCTGGTCTCAGAGCTGCTTGATGTGCAAACTGGCCCCAAAGGTTCCCGGTAAGTGCTAGCACACTGCACTGAAACAGCTCCCACGGGGTCAGTTATCCATCCGTCTGGGGGCCGGCACTGTCTGCCCGAATCCTCTTGGTAGACATGGTCTCGGTGTAACATTAAATGCAGCCCTGCAAGGCGCAGGGACAGAGGGCTTCCTTCCCTAATTTTCTTTTGGCCACCAAGGAGCCTCGTCTAAAAGAGACCCTCGGTTTCCATCTGTGGAAGTGAACGAGCCTGCCATGTGTCGTAGACTTTCCCTACATGGTGCCCACTTGGAGATAAAGGCGTGGAAGGACCCCGGGTCCTGGGCTGCTCGCAGGGGGACCAAACACTGGCAAGGCTCGACCGGAGCCCCCACATTTACTTGTATAGGAGAGTTTGTCCTCCAAATGCACAAAGGAGGCCGTTGCAAAGAATGTTTTGAACAAGATACAAATAAAATTCCCAAAGAAGCAAGCAAAATGCTAGTAGGGGAGAGGTCATCTTTTTGGAAATGGAAGGATATAGAAGAGATGAAGGAGTGAAATAATCATTTGGGTCTGGAAGTTTCCTTCCTTCCTTCCTTCCTTCCTTCCTTCCTTCCTTCCTTCCTCGTCCTTCTTCCTTTCTCTCCTTCCTTTCCTCTCTGCCTCTTTCTTTCTTTCTTTCTTTCTTTCTTTCTTTCTTTCTTTCCTTTCTTTGAATATTTACTGAGTACCTATTATGGACCAGACACTGAGCTAGGCCCTGAGAATGAAATCATGAGAGATGGAAGAAATAAAGGTGCTGTCCCTGTCTTCCTGGGACTCATAGTCCAGCGGGGGACACAGATAGCATCAAATAACTGTTCAGAGACACGCAAAGGCCAGTGGTTACATGAGGGCTTAGGACCGGAGGCAGGGAGAGGCTGACCTGGGCCTGCGGGCCGCGCTTGACAGGCCTGAGGAAGCTGTGATGGATAGCTGGTGGATGGATAAGCCAGAGGGGCCAAGGTCAGGGCCAAGGTCGGGGCTGAGTTCCAGGGCACGCCCATGTGGTTTAGGAAGGATTATTCTCCTTATTGAGGAGGACACTGCCGGCAGGGGGCTGAGCACCTGTTCCAGACCAGCAGGGGCCAAGCAGGACCGAGTGGTCCCACAGCCAGCACTGCCCCCGGCCACCAGCAGCCCCGCGTTCCCTCTCCCTGTGGGGAGAAAAGCGGCCCGCCCCTCCTCTGCCGCCTGGATCCTGAGGAGTGCCCCGCCCCTTGCTGTCACAGGCCTGTGGACCCAGTGCTGAAGGCCATCAAGGAAGGTGATGAAGAGGCCTTGAAGGCTATGATCAAGGCAGGCAAGAACCTCGCAGAGCCCAACAAGGAGGGCTGGCTGCCGCTGCATGAGGCGGCCTACTACGGCCAGCTGAGCTGCCTCAAGGCCCTGCAGCAAGGTGAGGCCACAGCTCCGGGTGCAGCCAGGGCTGGGAACAGGACTGGGGGTGGGGCTCCTTCTTTTCCAGAGCGTCAACTGTCTTGGGCAGGGGGAGGGTGAGAGGCAAGATTCTTACCCCCGTGGCAGAGTTAAAGTCACCACACTGGGAGAGAAAAGTGGTTTGTCCCCACCCACCCTGCTGCCACCGCTCTGGGCCTTTCAGGACAGCAGAGCCTAATTCCTAGAAAAGGAGTGGGGGAGGGCTGACTTTTGGGAGAGCCACTACCAGCTTGTTCCAGAATGTTCCAGGGGCTGATGTGGTGTGGAAAATACTGCAGCTGTGCCTATGCCCTGCCAAGGCTGTCCCCCACAGCTGTGGGAACCTGGGCAAATCATGCCTCCTCTCGGAGCCTCGCCTTGCCCCCAAGCCAGATGTGGATAAGGTAACACTTGCGGACAGGACTTACCTCTGCCCTGAAGGAGCATGAGCCCCAGACAGCCCGCCATACGCTAGGGCAGAACCAGTTGTAGGAGACGGAGCTTCTGGCCGTGGCTGGTGGGAAAGGACAGGGTCATTCAGAGACGGAGAGGGGTTCAACCAGGGAAAGCTTCCCAGAGGAGGTGGCATCTAAGCTGAGATACTACAAGTGGAAAGCTGAAACAGCCCCGTGAGAGCAACGGAGTCCAGGGCCAAAGGATGGATGGTATATTTAGGTGGATGCCACACATGTCTGTCGTTGGAATTGGGCAGAAATCGGGGCCACCTGTGTGTTGGGAAGGTGGGAGAGTCTTCCCCCTTCACGAACTCCCTGTCTGTTCTCCCCAGCATACCCTGCAGTCATCGACCAGCGCACCCTGCAGGAGGAAACGGCCCTTTACCTGGCGACGTGCAGGGGACACCTGGACTGCCTCCAATCCCTCCTCCAGGCTGGCGCCGAGCCTGACATCTCCAACAAGTCCCGAGAGACCCCGCTCTACAAAGGTGAGCCCTCCCACAGTGGGCTTCCCTGGGGAAGGGTCCAGAGGGTAGGTGGGCAATTGGGAACATTGCTCCCAAAGTGCATAACTCCCTCCCTAGCCCCCCTTCTCCCCAGCCAGGGGTCTCCTGTGAAGGGCGGATGTCTACGGGCCACGCTACCCAAGTCTTCCTGTGGGCCCGGCCCGCCGAGGAGCGCTGAGGGCCCAAAAACAAAAAGCTATGATCGGTGCCCCAGCGCTCTCCCCGCCCAGTGGGCAGCGACACACAGACAACATAACAGCCAGGCAACAAAGAGCTCGGCATGATGCACCCGGGAGCATCAGGGAGGGCTCTAGCGTTGGGGATGAGCACCCACAAAAGGGGGCGTCGGAGCTGAGCTGGAACAGGAGGCTGTTTCCAGCTGGACAAGCAGAGGGAACAGCATAGGCAGAGGCAAAGAGGTATGAAAGAAAATCTGTACCTCTGGGACATTTAAAACAAACCAGAAACTTAGCCTGGCTCATTCAGTACATCACCCAAGGACACTGGCATCTCTAGCAAAATCTGAATCATCGTAATAGCTGGTATTTACTGAGTGTTTACTCTGTGCCATGCACTGTTCTTCAATTTAATCCTAATATCCATCTACATAGGAGACGGGCATTACATGGGAGGTATCTCCATGTTATAGATGAGGACCTAAGGCACAGAGACATGAAATGAGGCACCCAGGATTTCACATATGCTAGCAAGGGGCAGACCTGGGATTTAAACTCAGCAAGCTAGCTGCCTCACAGTTCATATGCTGAACTATGACATTATAAAGCGTCCAGTTCATGCCCTCGGGCTTAAGCAATCAGGCTTGGGTCTTGCACATACAAATATGAGAGGGCCTTTACACTTTGAAAAACGACAGACATCCCTGCTTTCCCGTGTGACTGGTATCCAGTACCTGGAATATTCCACGGGAAGCAGGTGCCTGGCAGCTGGTAACTGGGTCCACTGTAGACCCGAGATGGAAGTGTTTCTCAGAAGTCGTGTCTGCCCAGGCACCAGAGCCATCACCTAGAGGCCGAGCTGCCCAAAGGGAGCTTCCCGAGCACACTGGGCAATTCTCAGCCGAGGCTTGGGCCCTGGTGCTGAGTGCACTTCTCCCACGTGCCAAGTACTGTGCTAGAGTGTTCCATGCACTCCGTCACCCAGTACTCTCACAAGGTCCTCTCAGGAAGGTTTTATTATCTCTGGTTGACAGGCGAGAAAACCAAGGCTTCGAGAGGTGGGGAGCTTTGCCTGGGGTGCTGTTTGAAACACTACCCAGGAAGCCCCCTTTCTCTTCTTGCCCTCACCCCTGCCTGATTCGAAGAAGTGGTAAATTTAGACAAGAGCCCAGCAGCCTCCCTGGTGATAACCCTGGACCAGAGCCAACAGTGCATCTAGGTTCTAGAAAGCAATGAGGCTTGGGGCGCCAGGGTGGCTCAGTCCGTTAAACATCCGACTTGGGCTCAGGTCATGATCTC